AATACTTGGATTAGAATTCATCACTCCAACATCTTTTATCCTGTTCTCCCATAACATAAATCCTGAATGTGATTCCCAAGATCGAACAATGTAATCGTGATCTCGTTTGGATACAGAGATAGCGACTAACATATATGTGAAGAAACGATAAGCACTAGGAGTTGTAAATTAATTAACAAATTATGAGAAACTCACCACTTTCATAACCTTTGAAAGCTAAAATATTTTCATTCTCATCAAAAACTTGACGCCAATCTAATTCAAAATAAAGGAATTTATTTGATTACGACAACGATATATTATGATTGAAATCATCTTAATTCATCATGATACCAACCAAGATTCCCACTACGAACATTAATTGATGCTAAGACGTTACGGTCGGAAGCTACCAAAACATATGCCCCTCTAGAAACAAACTTATGAAAAAATGAGGTTTTCGGAGTACCAATATACTGATGATGCCTAAGAAAATAACTTTCGTGAGAACAATAAAAAATTTTCAAGTTTAACAAAAAAAAGTTTTCATACCAATCAATTACCCCTGCTTGATTAGCATATAAGCTTGATACAAATTCCACATGCCAAACTAATAATGAAACTACAAAAGCAAAAACTCGTAATCGCACCATTTTTCTTGTAACTAAATTAAACGAAAATTTTTGACGTTTTTTCAATTTATGAAATCATCTATCCAATCATATTTAAATACGTCTAAATGATCATCAATCAATGTAAACCAATTATTTTTCTGCAGTTCTAAAAAAATCCATCCTCTATATTTTTTAACATGATAAATTACAACGTAGTCGCCACCAGTGATATAAATTCAGTAAAAATCTTGTGTAGTCATACGCGCGTTATATGTAAAAGTAAAATAGGAATAGGCGCAACTCTAATTTATTTCACCGGTCGCCACTTTTCCTGACAACTAAATCTTCGCAGTCGATAAAAGAAATCTCAACAATTTATCGGAAACTTTAACCAAAGATAATATCGTTGAAGTCTTTATTGTCGCGGATTACTTTCAATTGCCAGATACAATATTTGTTGATCGGATAAACCTTATCTAGATGTTGTTAGATAAAGGATCAAAAATACATGGATGGCACAAAATAACCATAGATCTTTTCTTTAAACATATCAAACTTTGTTTCACATAAACTATCAAACATGAATTTAAAAAAGAATGAAATAGACAACCATTCACCAGAATTGTTACTAAATTGTTGATATATTGCCATAGAAGTGGAATATCACTAATAACTACTTTGACTTCAACAGCTTTTGATGGCAGCTTTGTTGAAAATGATAGCACTTTTCAATTTTAAAGTCGAATATTCAGTTCTGCTGACATTTTATTTATCTATTGCGATATCATCATATTACGCATCGTAAACTCTCGAAGTACTACACGTCATTATCAAAGATATAGATTAGCTCAAAAGTGCTTCTAAATAGTAAGCCTGCAAAATTATTGTCTTTGAAAACATAATATTTGTCAAGAATGTTCAAAAGATGACTGTTGACAAGTTTAATTAAGTCTTTCTTGAACATTTTAACAGAGTGATTGGACATGTATAGTTAAGATTGAATTCTCATAATTTAGGTTTCAGGATGAGGTAAACTTAAGTCAAATTCCATCTATGCAAAGTCAAATTGCGAGAAATACAACAACAGGTAATCTTTCAAAAACATGTGACAGCGAAAGGATCTAGATACTTCAGCATTTCATTAGGAATCTTCGAAAGGTTAGAAGTTTTGCTATCAGGTAATGATTTAATAATACTTATCCATTCATCTTCTGTAAGGTGTTGCATACATCAGTAAATTTAATAATGCAAAATATTATATGAACCGTAATATTATGTAAGGTTACGAACACATTGAAAAAATTATGTATATGTAATACTTCAATATTTTACAACGCGTAATAATTCAAAAGTTTACGACATGTAATATTTTAAAAGTATATGATGCGTAATATAACGATATCGCATATTTATATTAAATATGATGTTTCATTTCACCATAATAACTTGTGAATCCTTTTCTAAGATATGTCAAAGTGTATAACAAGGTCAACATCATTATGTTAATTTGTGCTCTGTGATAATTATGCATTCTTTATGATTTGATAAAATTTATTATTTTGATTTTCACCCCTATTTCAACCAAATCTTTATAGCACAGAAATATTAACACTTACTTAGTCCTATCAGGGATTGATTAAGGAAAGATTATCTCACTAATTTTTTAATGTATCTATTATGATCCATTATTATACACATTTCAATACTCTTTATTAGGCTATATTTAAAATATTTATTGGAGGAATAATATCACAAAAAATACATCACATCACTTTTTGAATTATGTACTAACAATTACCTATATATAGATGATACTCTCTAGATAGCAGATTCTAGAGTAATTCTTCAAAATATTATGTCTATTACTAATTCTTTTTATATTTTTAATAGCATTCAAATCAATTAGAACAAATCAATCCTTATGACTAATAGCAAAGATTTTAGTTCAGTTAACTTTAATTTCAATAACAAAAATATTTAACTTCTAACAGTTTCATTTAAGAATTTAACTTATTAACTTAAAAAGTGGATCTCACTTTTCAATAATATGTAATACATAAAATTTAGGTTTCAACTGAGTTCAAAAAGTGAAGATTATTCTCAACAAAAAAAGCTTACTGCAAAATAAATTATTTCTATCTTTAATTTAATGATTATCTTTCAAAAATAAAATTAATATAATTACCCTTAACTTTTTGTAATATATTGATAATTTTTTTTAGAATCTTTTTTAAAAAAAAATTTCGTTTAATAAAATCAATATCTGCATCTATTATTTATTCAACTTTAATTATAATCTCACATATTTTATAATAAGTAAATGCTTTCTAAATCCTTTGATTTCTTAAAAATAATCAATGATATTACTTTATTAGGTAATATAAATCAGACTGAGAATTATGCAATTATAATTTATAGAATAATTATATTTTTTGTCTATTATTGATTATCATATGATGATTCTCTTCTATTTAAAAATTAGTGATTATTTTTCTTTCAGCTACTAAATTAAATAGTTTCACTTTTAGATAATATTTGAATGAAAACTTTACTTTTCATCAAATCATTAATATACAGTGCGTAACAAAGTTTCTGGAATTAAAATTTAATGTAAAAAATCACGATTTTTTACTGCAATATGTAATTTATTAAATAACTTTTCTACATAACGTCATTGTATTAGCCATTTTTAGATATTATATAATGGAAAGATACTACTTTGCTGAAACTTATACTTTTTTAACCATATGTTTATTATGATATAATTGTATAATTTTAATATTACAATTGCATAATTTATAAAATTCATAATTATTATATAATTATTACCATTTTTACAATGTTTTTATAATATGATAATTATATTTTTAATTGCATTGTAATATTATTATATAATAAATATATAAATTATGATATAAAATTAAGTTATTGAATTATTAAATCATAGTATTAATATCGTAAAGTATAGAATTTTCATAATTACAGCATATTAATTATATTATCTAATAAAAATCAAGTATAATTGTTTTGTGATCACGTTGTATCAAAAAAATCCTATAAGGTTAGTACATCAATTTAAAAAATTTCACTATGCTGACGCTATGCACTCATTTTACAATTATGCATAATATTGCCCTGGCAAAAATTTTTAAACTTCTCATTACAGGAATGATCAACAGTGAAATCACCAGTTTAAAAAATTTTACCGAGACTGGCGTTATGCATGGTTGTGGTACTAGCCTCATATAATGAATATATTGTGATTAGGTAATAATAAAATAACAAATAGAATGTTATACATTAACCTTTGTTAGAAATGTTGGCTCAAATTCAAGATCAAACAAACGTTAGACAGTTTTTGAACGTAGAATATATTTATAAACGAAAAGAAATTAGTTAGTAGAGAAATATAGTTTGACTTTATCAACAGAAACCCTTGCAGATATGTTAATTTCAAGTTTTAGTTAAGTTTAAAGATATTTCTGATACTTGTTCGTAAAAAAATGACATTACATATTTTTAATAAAAAATAGATAAGTTTTTAAAAGAAGAAAAAAAAAATAAGATATTTGTTTGATATTAAATTAATTAATTTATGTTGATTTTTTAGTTGTATATATTTTTTTTAAAAAAAAAATAATTTGCATATATTACCGAATAGTCACGTTATTGATTGATAAAATAATATATTTTCAGTAAGTATGTATGATTATAATATCATTATTATTAAATTTCATGATTTTATTATGATTAAAAGTTAGTATAAAATCTATTTAGATACTTATTTAACCTTTCACAATTTCTAATTCATTTTCTTTCCAAAATAGTCCAATCATGAAAATATAATAGAGAAAAGACCAAAAGATGTAAGATAAATTTGTTTTAGTATTATATTACTTTTATTATATTTATTTATTATTTATCTATAATAATATAGCTATTGAATCACCTTTAAAACCTGCTAAAGTAAACAATTCTCTTGAAGAAACTGAAACTATAAATGTGAATGTCAAAGAAAGTAAAAGAAAACTAACACTAAGATGTACTAATGCAAAAAAAAAATTAAGAGAGAATGAAGAACCTAATTTGACTAACAGTGATGATGATATGAATTATGTTATGATGAATTGTTTCTCGCTAATAGTTTAGTCAATAAATTATTATTAATCTTCTATTTAAAATCATATTAAATTTATTATATTATTTATATAATTTAGATATGACTGCTGGTATATTGATTATAGGTAAATCACAGTCTCTACCTAAAATTACATTACAATAAAATGAATTTTTAAAGACACACTATCTGCTTGAAGAATACGATAATGATCAACAATCGTCAACATCATCTTTTGAAAATATTGACGATCAATAATCATCAACATCATCTCCTGAAAACATTGATTATCAACAACTATCATTAATACCAAATTTAACTAATACTGGTTCATCTTCTTTAATTGGTCCATTCAAAAATGACCTTAAAATTTGTATGTATTTAGTACAATGACTGGGTCTTATTAATCTAACTTTAAGTATGATGAAAGTAAGTGATAATGAATCTATAATTATTCAAAAAAAATCTGACAAGTTTAGCGTGCTTTCAGAAAGAGTAGGTTAAAACATAAATTGTTGTGAATTGTTATAAATTGTTGTAATTATATATTGTAATTATTATATATTATTTTATTTAAATAGGAACTTGAAACACTCCAGTTACATTTAAAATGTCTGTTTTTTCGTACAAGAGTTATAAATAAGCAGATAGATGCATTAGTAAGAACTTTGTTTCTAAATATTCAATCTATCAGAGCATCAGATCAAGCAGCATTGCAAACATGAGTTTTTGGAAGTTATCATGATTATCCCTTAAACTGTAGGGCTTCCCAGGCAAATTTGCCTGCAAAAATTCTGAAATTCGAGTTTCATCTATTTTTTGAATTTATTAATTAACTTAAAAAATT